ATGGGAATTAAAAATTGATCACTTACATTAACTAAGTGACCAAGTCTCAACACATTTTCATGAAAAGAACAAATCAAGAAATCGCAAGTTGGACATTCTAACCCTATACAATGGATTACTATGTTTACCACTTACTTTTGCTGCAGCAATTAATGTCCTGAAAATAAATTGTAATGATTCCCTGACCACCTGCAACATTTCCTCCCCCAACCCCTTTACTTTAAATAATAATTTGGAATGGAATTAATGAAAATTTAGTTGAACCATTTTATTGCTGTCCTGTCCATATAGCTACTAATGTAAGAGGGGAAACCGCAACGTGAAGTTTTGTTTTAAAGTGATTAAGTTACCACTTTTGGCTGAGCATTTAACCCTACTTCTTCATCCTCTTCTTCAATAAGGTTTTGTTGAATTCAGCCATGTTGCAGAATCATTGTTATTTTTGTTTTAGACTTTGTAACAAATTGGTTTATTTGAAGGAAAAGTGCCTGAAGCGTGTTCTATGGCAAACCAGTGATGCAAATTAAATTAGAACAACAACATTGTTCACAGTCAAATACCCTGGAGGTGCCTCTTTATAGTTGATATAGCTCTGTTGACACCACTTTGAAATTGGAAACTACATAAATGATCAGATATCTCTACATTTCAATTCTAATCCAACTACCTGACCTGGTGTAATATTCTGGGAACCAATGGTTTACTGAATCCAAGTAAAGTGCCAATTAGATAAGAGTCATTTGCTAACTTACATTCTTTAAGATTTCCATTAGAATTATGAAACGAAAGCTATTGGTTTAATAAAGAAACATTTACAGTACTGCATGTAGAGTAAATCCCTTTTGCATTTTCAGATGATTAGAGATAATTAAGCATCATATACCATTTAGCACCTTAAAACAGCCAGAGACAGTAATCCCAATGACAAACTATTATTATTGATCTTAATGCTGCACTAATTCAATGAACGTTTATTTAGTTTCTTGTTTGATGCACTTTTCCCTAACTGGACAAACAGGTGGCTGTTCCCAACACACTGCAAGATGTATTCCATTTTTCACTTACACAGGGAAATGCCCAAATCAGGCCTTAAGGCTTCAGTCAGCTACTGCTTTTCATTGCACAGCTGAAATTTTGAGCTGTCATTTGATAAATTATGGATGAAAATCCATCTTCTGATACATTGTATTAGAGTGCCTACATGTAGGAAAAAGTTGGTGTAATTTACTTGTCATAGAGCAACTTGCCAAGGTTGAATCAATCATGAGTGAATCCTGTGCATATCCTGTACTATGGATGATTAGTCACATTGTTACAATAAAACATTACGATTTCTTAAACCATAGGTGGATGTGGTTGACACACAATTCATTGCCTTAAGTTTATTCAATTATCATGGATTTGTCTAATACCATTATTTTAGTTTAATTATTTCACTAAGAACTTTTCAATGAATTTGAACAATTCTTTTTATTAAGCACACCGTGCAGTACAATGGAACTGTGGCACGTAGATTAATACTTGCTAATACCCCGTGCTTCAACTAAGTTAGAAGTCACATGACACCAGATGACAGTTCAACAGGTTTATTTGAAATCAAATCTTTCAGAAACATCACTTCACCTGACAAAGCAGCCGCGTTCCCAAAGCTTGTGATTTCAAATAGCTTGTTGGGCTATAACCTGGTGTCATGTGACTTCTGACTCTCCACCCCAGTCCAACTCCAGCACCTCCACATCACGAAACCAGTTAGGAGGAGAAGCCAAATGAAGACATGCCTCTAACAGAAATGTCAAACACAGGCTGTGAGGGACCTAATGCAGTATCCTGATGCTTGGCAAAGGCTACATTTAGCCAAAAATTATCTGAACATACTGGGGTAAAAATTGGTATCCATTTTGCTGTTGTGTGTGTAAAATTAGTTACTTGTATACAATCCCCAGTTTTGAATAGACTAATATGTAGATGTGCATGCTTTTGATCTTGTTATTCATCTCCAAATTGAAGAATTTTCTTTTGGCCATCTAACACTGAACATGGGATTAATGGGAATATGTCAATTTACACAGAATTCATTTTGCAGAAAACATTGAAAGACCATGGTTATCTCTCAAATCAGAAAACTTCCAAGTAGCAGCGATGTGTTCCATTGGTAAAATTCAGGTGATATAAAAGCTCAACTATTGTAATTGGTCTCTGGATGAAAAAGCAAGACAAATTCCCCTTCTCAATCACAAACCTGTAACAATTAGAAGACTGCCTTTGTGGAGTGTTGCAAGAGTGCACAAACAAACATCAAACATGGAAGTGATGCACCCTCAGCCAAATACTACTTCAACATTCACTTGCAAATCTCATTAATGCGTAACATCAATCTGAACAATTCACTCAAGAGATTTTCGCAGATCTCCCTTATGCAAGAGTTCAAAGCTTAATTTGGTAGGAACATGAAAATGATCAAAACAGTGGAGGTATCATTTTACAAAATGATTTTTTCCTAAAACAAATCTAGCCAATGGCATAAGATGAAACCATTCCCATACTGGATAGTAACATTAATTTCCAAAAATTATTAAAACACTTCCAAATGATAGAACATTCTAGTTACCTAGCAAATGACCATTTGGCAAGAGAACAGGCTCCAAACAATGTTGGATTTTCTAACAGATTATTGATTACAACAGACACCAAGCAGAGTCAATTCTTTTGCAGGTTGAAGAGAAAAACAAAATAATCTGGAAATTAACAATTAAAAAAACAAGGGAAAAAAAAAAAAACTAGATTTTCAGACTGTGCTTCCTTATTTCCTAGTAAGGAATTACACTACAAACTAGAAGAACATTCCACTTTTTAAAAAAAAGTGTTCAAAAAATTAAATAGTAGAATGCTGCTTTTAAGAATATAGTTTTATATTCTGAAACTGCCAGAGTGCAAATGAAGTTATCCCTTCAATAAAATTGAACTATGATATCTAAATATTATCCCTACTTCTAGGATGCCCTCAGCAAGGAAGGAATACTTTTCTTCTTCCCTTTTAAAAAATTAGGTTATTCTACATAAAATATTTCTTAATATGTATATGCATACATAAAATTTAGGGTGATTTTGGTTCTTTAGCTGGTAACTATTTACTTGCCACTCACTTCCAACAAGTAAATAATGTTTTTCCAGTTAAAGTAGACTGCATTAATCCATTTTGTTTCAAGAATGCTTTATAGAGATTTACACACATTCATTTCCTGTTTGCTCAACTTCACTTCACAAATTGCTACTTTGAAGTAGTCTGCAAACAAATTTCGTTGTGGAACTTATTATTAGAACATCACCAAGTTAGGATAAATCAGAAGTTTTAGAAACTCTTAATATACAAAGGTTCAACTGAAACAAGGGCAAATGCACAACAAGTTAAGTTAAATTGCATTGTATGTTACAAAAATAGCATGCCTTGATGGCACTACCACTATTTTAAAGTGAATTTCATGCTTTCTTAAAGCAAGTAGTTGTACTTGACAAATCAGCAGCTAGTAAAGCAGAAAACTGCAGACAGACCATGGTCTAATGGTCTAAAATTGACAAGAGAATCCAACAAAAAGATCTTCTGAGAGTTACAAATGGTGGACATTGTTAAAGTAAGCAGCGACTGTTCGCTCGCACCAAAAATTGATATGAGATCTCTATAGTGCAAGAAAATCCTCAGTCTTCTCATTGCACAGAATCAGAGTATCTAAAATAGTGGCACTTCTGAAACAATAGATCCCTATAATTAAATTAACACTTATATAATGGAGTTTGAAGTGCTTTCCCACAACCAGAAGACATTTGGTAAAACTTTCATCTGCCTTATTAAAAAGGTTTTGATGCCGATGGACCTGAGGGGCAACTTTTTCCACATAACGGCTTGTGCATAAGAAACGAGCAGCTAGAGGACATGGTAGAGGTGGATGCAATTACAACATTTACAAGACATTTGGACAGGTAAAATGTTTAGAGGGATATGTGCCAAACTTAGGCAAATGGGACTAGTTAATTTAGGAAACCTAGTCAGCATGGACAAGTTGGGCCAAAGGACTTGTTTCCATGCTGTATGACTATTTAAACAGACTCCAAGAACAGCGAATGATGTGATACCTTATTCTTTCTTTTGTCAGCCGAGAAATACCAAAGGACTGTTGGCTGGTGTAAAGTTGTTTGACAAGCATAAGCAAAGTTCAGACTGTTTACGATCCGTACTCAACAGCCTGGAAACACAGCCTTAAAGTAGTTACCTGCCATTGTAAAACAGTGAACTTAAAATTAAGTTTCAATCCCATTATATATTGAGCATTGCTGGAACACTGTACGAAGCAGAGAATAAACCTACGTCAATGTGTAGTGATCACAGAAGACATTACGAAATGAAGGTGGAAAGGTTACTAATTAAACTATTTGATATGTTAAATTGATACAGATTTCAGATTACTACTTTCAATCTCGGAAATTCACAGTACGTCATCTCCATGTAATTCACTATAGTTTTTCCATTTTTCTATTCAAACAATGCCTCATGAGTACAAGCCGATGAGGAGATTTGAGGTATCAATTTTGCGTCTCATTATATTGTACCAACCAGGAAAGTGGTTTTAATCAGCACAGGGTACCCATTAGAGAACGTACAAAATGATTATCTAAAACAAAAGGTCACTTGGGCTTGATGTATTATTTAAACATAGCTATTTGAGGCACGAATTCAATTATTTGTCCAACGAGCTCTGTGAAGATCAATCTATTTTAGCTCATATTACAACAAGCAGGAACGTTAACATTTCGGAACACTGTCAATCCAGCATCTGCAGTTCTTCCAGTCTCCCAGCACAATTTATACCGCATTCGCCACTATGTCGAGAGATAACGGGTGAATTACTCAAGTTGTGAGTGTATTTCATGCAATTAACGACAAGCGCAGTTTGCTACTAACGTATTTCCCAAACGAAGTCGTATATACATACTCCCTAATTTCGTACCTGTGCTGCCAGCCCTGGATCAGATTGGTGTACTTGCTGAGTAAACCCTCCACAACCTTGCCAGCTTCCGGATGACGGTGGTGGTTCTGCTGGTCCTCGCGGACTATCCGCACCGAATCCGCGTCTGCAGCTGCTGAGGTTGGGCTGCTGCAGTTGGTCTTTGCCCTATCCTGGGTATTTGCTTTCAGCGCCAACGATCCCCTTTCCCCCGTAGAACCAGACAGCCTTCTCCCACCACCGCCACCAGCAGCAGCGCCGCCAGGAGCCACTTTCTCAGTGTTAAACATTTACCGCGACAAAAGCTGGCTGTCGTTTTCTTTTAGGAGGAAAGAGTAAAAGGAAGGGGACGGGATGGGTTTATAAACAACAACAACAACGCGAAAATAAAAAGTGTGACAGACGGACAGAGTTCGCACCGCGGCGGCCAGGATGTGCAGCCAGCTCGCGGCACAGGGCAGGGGAAGAGGGGGGGCGGGGTGGGTCGCGCGCGTTCGATGGAACGCTCCGAATTACGAACGTCCGGTGCTCGAGCCACACCGTCCGAAGGCGTAAGGCGACCGAGAGAAATACTCTGCTGCTGCTGTCGCCGCCGCCGCTGTCAGTGAGTTAAACCAGCGGGCTAGCTCCCCTCCCCGCAGCTGCCCCTCCTCCCCACCCCTTTTCTGTCAGGTAGTCGCTACGAGTCCCTCCTTCATCAAATCTGCTGACTTCTCGCTGCCAGTGACGTGGTGCCCCGTCTCGGTGGCGCATACGCGTCCAGGAGACGTCTCGTCTGGTACTTTCTCCCTTCCCAGTCAGGAGGGTCTCCCTCTCACGAACGCATATTGAGTCCTGACAAGGGTACAGCTCTCCACTGCCCTGTCACCGTGCCCGGAGGGTGCTGGATGGCCTTGGCTTCCTCGTGATCCTCTCCCCCGTAACAGTCCACAGCAGCCCTTCCCATTCCGTTCTGGAGTCCGGAATTCCTGGAGACACTGACTCCCTCTCCCGTCTCGGTGAGCTTTTACTTTCCTTCCCTCGGCTGGAGCTCGCGCACGGTTGCGTAAAGCGGAGAACGTGCGCGTGGACGTCCACGCACGAGCAGCGCAATCCCCTGTAAAACTGGCTTTGCCAGCTGTACCTCTTTTTAAAAGACCATATGGTGAACTAACTTTACCACTTCGGCACTGTTGATGCCCCCATAAATAAAGACACGTAAAACTTTTCTCCCCCCCCCCCCTCCCCCGAAGAAAGGTCTCGACGCGAAACGTCCATTTTCCTGCTCCTCTGATGTTAAACTTTTTTTTAACGTGTTCAGAAGGAAGCAGTTCGCTCCCATAAAATTGTGGTTTCGTTTGTCGTGTCCAACCAACCAAATATTCTCAATTTACAATTTCGAGTCGGTATTCCGATAAGTGGAGCAAAACGCGAGGATTTGTGGTAATCCCTGTAAATTTTGGTTCGAGAAAGTGGCCCACTACCAGCTTCTCAAGAGATTGGGGATGGTCAGCCTAGCATGATGCCCACATCCTGCAAATGAATAAAGACGTGCTTGAATGTAACCTATATCTCGAGCATTATTTCTGGTTATCAAAATTAAGAACATTTTGAGAACATAAAGCAAGAGCGAACCACTTGGCCATCATATTTGCTTCCATATTCAATAAATATTGGCGGAACGTCCCCATCAAATGTTCCTCATTTTCTTGATTTACGTGGTACTCTAGAGTCTTAACGATCTCTGTCTTGAACATAGGAGATAGCAAGAACTGCAATTGCTGGAGTCGGAATCAATACAGTGTGGAGCTGGACGAACACAGCAGGTCAGGCAACATCAGAGGAGCAGGAAAGTCGACGTGTCGGATCAGGACTGAGGAGAGGGAGGGGAGCTGGGAAATAACTTCGCCTGTTTCAATATCTTCCCACTGCCAGCTTCATCCCAGGTCCAACCCTCTTTCTCATCTCTACCTCCTTGACCTGATGCAACCTGTCCCTCTTCCCCACCCTTCCTACTGACCAATCCCCACCACCCCTTACCTGCATCTACTTATCGCCAGCCCACCTACCTTCCCCTCCCCCCTCTATTTATTTCCCAACCCCCTACCCTTTTCCATGCCTGAAGAAGGGTCTTGACCTGAAACGTTGACTCCTGCTTCTCTGATGCTGCCTGACCTGCTGGTTTCCTCCAGCTCCACATTGTATTGACTCTGTCTTGAACATAGTCATAACGCAAGCATCCATCCTCTTCCAGATTAGAGCATTCCAAAGATCCAACCCCTCTTTTATTAAGAAATATCTCCTCAGCCCAGTCTTAAATGGCTCAACTTTATCCTGAGACCGTGGTCCTTTAGACAGTCTACCCATGGGAGGTGGATTTTCAGCATTTGTCCCATCAAATTCTGAAGGAATTTCATAGCAAATTTAAAGGTATCAAATTCTAACAGGGCTAGGCAGGGTAAACAGAGGAAGAATGTTCCTGATGATCAAGGAGTCCAGAACCAGGGATCACAGTTTAGGGTATGTAATAGCTATTTAGAAGTGAGATTAGAAATTTATTCACCTAGAGAGTGGGTGAACTTGTAGAATTCTCTTCCACAGAAAGTGTTTGAAGTCAAAGCATAGAATATTTTCAAGAAGGAGATATAATTCTTGGGGGCTAAAGGGATTGAAGAGTGTGAAGAGACAGCAGCAACAGGGTACTGAGTTAGACTATTAGCCATGATCATGTCAAATGACAGAGAAGCTCGAAGATCAAAATGACCTACTCCTGCTTCTACATGGTACTCTTCTATTTCTCTCTAACTGAGGGTTCAATGAAGTGAACCTCTGAAGTAGATGCGACTTGAACCGGGAACATTTTGCCCAAAGGTAGGGACAGTGCCACTGCACCACAAGATCCCTCTAAAATAACTAAATTCTGTGGAGATCAAAACTGTGAACACAGCTTCAGGTGTGGTCTTTTCAAAACCCTATGTAATTGTACAAAACTTGCTTACTTTTATACTCCATCTGCCTGGGTAACAAAGGCCAAGATACCGTGACACAAAGACATGTAGGAGGATAAACTGTGATGAGGATGCAAAATGCTCAGTATGATTTGGACGATGCAGGAAAGATGCTCCCAATGACAGGTGAATCCAGAACCAGGAGTCAGAGTCTAAGGGCATGAGATAGGCCATTTTAGGACTGAAGTGACGAGAAATCTTTTCAGCAGAAAGTGGTAAGCCTGTGAAATTCACCAGCACAGAAAACAGTCAAGGCCAAACATTTTAAGGAGTTGAATGTAGCACTGGGACCTAAAGGGATCAAAGGATATGAGGGAATAATGGGAACTAGCTAATGAGTTGGATGATCAGATATAAGGAATGGTAGAGCAGGTTAAAGGGCTGAAAACTCTACCTCTGTTCCTTTTTTTAATGTTTCTCTTCTTATTCTCCTTCCATTTGTTCACGGTGTCTGCAGGTTAACTTTTCCATGTGATCTATGTGTATTCTCACCCAATCTTTCCGCATATTGACATTATCTAATTTCACAGCTTTAAAGATGTTGTGCTTTTCCATTCTCCTTTTCAAAGTCCATAATTTTACACCATCACATTGTGCTTATCTCCTTCCCTTTTGTCCAATTACTGAATCAGTCATTATACCTGTTATTTTAACAGGTTGTAAGTTGCTGAGGCCTAACTACTGATTCCTGTGGTATTTCACTAGTTGCACCCTACTATCCAGAATGGAATCATTTGTAACAATTCTTTGTTTTCTACCTTTGAACCAATCTTCAATCCATATTACCCCTGTCTCTTAAATCCCAATCTTCTGTAACAACCTTGTGTAACATCTGATTGAGTAACTTCTGGAAATTCAAATGGGTGCATCGGCTAGTTCTGCCTGTTATATGCACTCTCAAAACACTAATACGTTTCTTGAACATGCTTTCCCTTTTATAAAACTTTGTTGGCCCTGCTAAATTGTAATTTTCCTAGTCGCCTGTTACTGTATCTTTAGTAATCAATTCTAGCATTTTCCTTACGACTGATGTCAGCTAACTGGTCTTTGGTTCTCCCTTTTCCTTCTGTTGAAGAGCAGGGTTTCAATTCATACTTCCAGTCAATAATTTAGAAAATTCTGGAAGAACAAAAATCAAGACATTCACTATCCCTGCAGCACCACTGAAAAACCTAAGGTGCAGGATATTTTTAAGCTATTAAAGCTATTGATTTATCCACTACTTTTTCTTTATTGCCATAAATTACTTTTAAGTTCCTCACTTTCATTTGACCATTGATTCCTCACAATTTTCACTATATTCTTTGTGTCCTCTACTGTGAAGATGGAGGTAATGTTTGTGTAAGTACGTTTGCAGTGTCCTCCTTCCCCTTCATGATTTCTCCTGTCAATGCCTCCAAGGCAGGGCCTCCCAAATTTTGGGCCAGGATTCCCATAGGTTTGTGAATCAGAATTTTGGGGTTATGAGCTCCAAGAACTGCAATGAGAGCTGTAGAACTTCACCCGAATATGGAAGGCAGTCGTAAGTTTCTCACAGCAGCCCCACCAACTCTCACAGGCTTAGGTTCATGGTAATTTTCAAACAGCTGAATAATTAGGTTACAATGGGAAAGCATTTGAAAAGTGCTACTCTAAAGAACCTTTGTTTACATTTTTAGTCCCTTCCTATTTTACATCTAAAATCGCTTATTTTCTATTTTTGTAGTTCTTGCTAATTTACTCTCCCTCTTTGCAAATTTCTTCTGTCATGAATTTCATCCAATCTTCGGGCTTACTACTGTTTTTGGTGACATTGTAAGCCTCTTGTTATAATCTAGTAATGTCCTTATTTTATTCTCATTAGTCATGATGTTACCAATATTTCAGTAGAGCTTTTATGCTCAAAGAAATATATATTTGTAGAGATATTTTATTTCTTTAAATTTTGTATCAATATGCTTTCTTCTACAGATATGTCTACATCAGGGCGTATTAAACTTTAATGTCTGCTAATATTCTTCATGAATCAATGGCTAGCTTGTAAGCAACTGAGTGTTCTCACTCAAAGTCAAATTTGCAACAGAGAGCATCTGAAACAGCTGTGAATGAATGAAAAAGGTATTTTTTTTCAGAAAACTGACTCCTGAATATAGGAAAAGGATTTGATGACCATGTTTAGATAGAGTCAGGTGTATTTATCAGTTAGTTGTAAGTATATTGGCACTGTTGGCAGCTATGCCTCACATTTAAGAATGTGTAATTGTGATGTCTGTATTTTTCTAGAATCAGTGAATCTAGCTGGATAAAAAAACAAAGTTGGTAAAGTATATTATTGTAAGGCAATTTAGTAATATGTGTGATGACTTTATTATCCTAAGCAAGTAACAATATATAATCATCTTATCTGTTTGGTGATCTAATTAGGATTTTAATGGGCTAAATCTTTAAAATTTTATTTGAACTATTATTCAATTATGATAAATCATCATGTATTAGATTCAAAGTATACATTATATTTTATTGATTTGAACGTGGCACTTAGAATCGCTGCCAAGGCCAACATTTCCACCCATACCCAACTGCCCTTGAACTGAATGGTTTGCTAGGCCATTTCAGAGACCAGATGGGAGTCAACCGCGTTGTGGATCTACAGTCACATCTCAGCCAGACCAGGTAAGAGTAGTTGGTTTCCTTCCCTCAGGATATTAGTGAACCATATAGGTTTTAAGAACTATTGCTAGCAGTTTCATGACATTATTTGAATTTAAATTCTTCCAACTGTCGTCAAGGGATTTGAGCCCAGTATTAGTCCAGTCCTCTGCTTTACTAGTCCAGTCACAGTACCGCTGAACCATCATTTCCCCCTAACAGTTTCCTAAAGAGATGATGATGAGCCTCTTTATTGAGGTGATAGTGCAACTACAATGCTGTCAGGTAGGAAATTACGGTGTATTCCTCCCAGCAACATGAAGAAATTACAATACATGTCCAAATCAGCATCAACAAATGACATCCCCACAATATTTATATTTTTGTCTTTCTTCACCATACAAATTGTAGGAAATGGAGGTGCTGTTGAAATAACATTGGTATGTTGCTGCACAACATCTTTAAAATTGTACTGTAAACAATGGTACACTTATAGTCCGGGGATATTAAGTTCAGTGACAAGGACACTGATCAAACAGACATCTCCACCATGAATGATATCAAGCTGTTTGGGCACTCTTGTAGCTGCACCCATCAAGGTACGTCGTGAATATTCCACTGTACTGCTGACGAATATTTGTAAGTACTGAGTAGAGGTTTAAAGGAGATGAGGTAATATAAAGTACAAAACCTGCATATATGGCTAAAAAGGTATAGTGTATATGTTAAATATTAGGAGAGAGTACTTTACTGAGTGATTTACATTCCAGTTGCTGCTGGAGACTAATTCCAGGAAGTAGTAACAGTAATAAAATGACAAATAAATATTTTGGCAAAATTGCAAATTCGAGGATTGGAGATACCTGCCCTTCTTAAGGAATTTGAGTATATAATCTAATCTATAATATAATCTTGATACAGCAATCCATTTTGGAAGATCTTTCTTTCAAACAAGGCATTACCAAAATTGAATAGTATTCAAAGAAGAGACCTTATCCTGGTCTCCTAACCTATATTTAATTCTCAGTTAATATCAACTCTCTTCTAGAGGGTGAAATGGAGCACCAGGAAAGGGATCAACTTAGGATTAGTTGGATAACAGATGTCAGAGCAGTTGCAGATGAGCTAAAATGCATTTGTGAGGATAATGCAGGAGAGGCAAGAGTAGCATTCTATGAAAGCAGATCTCCTTGCAGACGTAGCAACAAGCAGCAGGATCACTACCACCATGAAAATAGATTACATGGGCATTTCTTTTGTTGGGGACTTTTTTTAATTCAGAGGGTACAAGTTTAATTAAAATCCAAGATTTTGAGATGATTTGTTGCTTGGCTTGTTGATACAGTTGTTGACTTGCTCACCAAGCTGGTAAGCTTGTTTGTAGATGTTTTGTCACCATGCTAAGTAACATCATCAGTGCACCTCCGGTGAAGTGTTGGTGTCCTGTTTCACTTGCTATTTATGTGTCTTGGTTTGTTGGGTTGGGTGGAATCATTTCCGGATTTGTTTCTTGGTGGTTGGTATATGGGGTCCAGCTCTACATGTTTGTTAATGGAGTTCCAGTTTGAGTGCCAGGTTTCCAGGAATTCTCGTGCATGTCTTTGCTTGGCTTGTAGAGGATGGCTACGTTGTCCCACTCGAATTGGTGTCCCTGTTTAGCCATGTGTATTGAAATGAGTGATAGTTGGTCATGTCTCTTGGTAGCTAGTCAGTGTTCATGAATCCTGATGGCTAGTTTCTTTCTGGTTTGCCCTATGCAATGTTTTTGACAGTCTTTGCATGGTATCTTGTAAATAACGTTGGTTCTGTTAGTTGTGGTTGTCAGATCCTTTATTCTCGTCAGTAGCTGCCACAGTTTAGCTGTTGGTTTGTGGACTACCAGGATTCCTACGGGGCGGAGTAATCTGGTGGTCAATTCAGATATGTCCTTAATGTATGGTAGGGTGACTAGTGTCTCTGGATGTATTGTGCCTTCCTGTTGTGGTCTATTGTGTAGGTATTGACGGACTACACTTTTTGGGTAACTGTTGTTTCTAAAGACGCTGTGTGAAATGTTTACGAACAAACATACTAGCTCAGCAAGCAAGTCAACAACCGCATTTATTAAAATCCGTTAATCATATGTTGTTTTCAATAAAGAATTAATTTCTGACAGATATTTACACAATCATAGTACATTTTCAGTATTCTGAAAACTAGTATAATACACATCATCAAACTGAAAGGTATTTCTAAAATGCCGTATTTCACCTGTGTTCCTTAGCAATAATCCCATCTTTGCTAACACCCCTTGAATGAAAAGTATATTCATTTTATTTTTGAATGTTTGCAAAAAGTCTCTGTCCACTTTAAATTTTGTATATCTGCATTGGAAACACTTAATGCTGATGTTGTTAAAAGTGTTCCAACCCCCCTGCATAATGCCTTGTTTGCTAGTTAGAGAATTATTTGCCAAAAACAGTCACATCCCAGCTCCATTCACTTCTAGTTTTGCAGAACTAATTTCTCCCCAACTTTTCATAATGTTGAAACAGAATCAGATAGTGATTTACTTGTGATAATGTTTAGTTCAGAATCTTCGTTCAGGAGTCTCTTATGTATCTAAGAAAGGATGCTTTAGCCTTAGAGGGGATCCAGAGGAGGTTCATAGGAGCATAGGAGGTTGAGGGGTAACCTTATAGAGGTTTTTAAAATCATGAGGGGCACAGATGAGGTGAATAGCAAAGGTCTTTTCCCTTGGGTAGGGAAGTTGAAAACTAGAGGGTGTACTTTTAGGGTGAGAGGAGAACGATTTAAAAGGCACCTGAGGGGCAACTTTTTCACACAAAGTGTGGTTCGTATGTGGAATGAGCGGTTAGAGGAAGTGGTAGATGCAGGTACAGTTACAAAATTTGGACAATTACATAAATACAAAAGGTTTAGATGGATATGGGCCAAATGCAGGCAAATAGGACTACTTTAGCTTGGGGAAGTTGGTCAGCATGGACGGTTGGACCAAAGGGTCTGTTTCCATGCTGTTTGACTCTATAACTCGGTAATAATCCTGGAAATTAAGTGCTTGTCATATGAGGTGTGATAAGGACTACGGGTCATTATGCAATGGAGTTTAGAAAGATATGGGGGGCATCTCATTGAAATTATAGAATAGTGAGAAGCCTGGATGGAGTGGATGCGGGCAAGATGTTTCTACTAGTACGAGCTCAGACTCAGAGTGAAGGGACAATCCTTTAGAACCAAGATGAGGACGATTTCTTCAGCCAGGGGTGGTGAATCTGTGGCACTCATTGGTACAAAAGGCTGTGGAGGCCAACTCATTCAGTGTATTAAGAACTGAGGTAGATAGGTTCTTGATTAGGAATGGAATCAAAGGTTACAGGGAGAAGGCACAGTGGTTAGCACTGCTGCCGCACAGCATCAGGGACCCGGGTTCAATTCCACCCTTGGGCGACTGTCTGTGTGGAGTTTGCATGTTCTCCCCATGTCTGGGTTGGTTTCCTCCAGGTGCTCCGGTTTCCTCCCACAGTCCAAAGATGTGCAGGCTAGGTGGATTGGCCATGCTAAATTGCCTGTAGTGTTCAGGGATGTGTAGATTAGCTGGGTTATAAGGGGATGGGTTTGGGTGGGTGCTCTGAGTGTCGGTGTGGACTTGTTGGGCCGAAGGACCTGTTTACACACTGTGGGATTCTATGATTCTTCTTCTAAGGCAGGAGAATGGGGTGGAGAAACATATGAGCCATGACTGAATGGCAAAGCTGACCTGATGGATTGAATGGTCTAGCTCTGCAATATTTTCTGGGCTTACTTGGCAGTAGTTATAACGCTTTTTGCCAATTACAAAGTCTTTCCCATTCAATTATATTCTGTTAAAATATATTATTAATATGAGCTTTGATTTTATTATTTAACAGGTGAAAGCGTTGGAAAGCAATAGCACTTGACCAAGCAACTATCCAGTTTTCAGTTGAATTATTGTAGGTTAACGTTGTATCAGTAATTTACCATTGTTAAAAAGCTTCTCAAGTTTTTCATATGGTGTAAACTAACATCTGTTACTTTGGCTGCCACTTACTATTTTCTGTTTTTATGACCTGACTTATCCACGAATCAGTTCATTAACTATAACATCAGCTGCAGATTATTTTATCTCACCAGTCATCTCTGGTGATTATACTTTAAAGGTACTTCTTTCACTTTAAAACATTAAGGCAGCCTGAGAAAATTACAGTGAGTGCAAGAATTTCTGTCTTTCTTTATAATTTCCTGTACAAGGATCCTTCTTCATTCAACTGAGCCCAGCAAAAAATATGTTAAAAATCCCTTGGATCAATATAAGTAGCAATCAGTCGTACTTCTAAGAACTGCTAGTTAGGCTATTGAATGCTTGTTATTAATGAGCAGAGATCATAAGATGTAGGAGCTGAAGTTGGCCATTCAGCCCATTGATTGTCATAGCAAACTCAGTGAGATCATGGCTGATCTGATAAAGATCAATGCCACTTTCCTGCCTTTTCACTGTAAACCTTGAATCATTTACTGATTAAAGATCTGTCTATCTCAGCCATGAAATACGCTTAACAACACAGCCTTACCAGCCCTCAACAGTGGTAAAGAATTCCATAGATTCACTACTCTCTGAGAGAAGAAATTCCTCCTCATCTCTGCCTTAAATGAGTGATTCCTTATTGTGAGATTATACACTCTGGACCTTGACTGTCCCACAAGGGGGAACAACCTTTCCACATCTACCTTGTCAGGTCCATTAAGTGTCCAGTATATTTCAATAAGGTCACCTCTCATTCTTTAAAGTTCCAATGAGACCCAACTATTCAACCTCGTCTAATTAGACAGTCACCCATACCTGGTATCAGCCTAGTGAACTTTATCTTGACTGCCTCCAATGCCAGTTTCTCTTTCTTTAAACTAGATGCTCAAAACTATTTGTAGTATTCCAACTGTGGTCTCACTAGTGTATCGAGAGTTTTAGCAAAACCTCTCCACTTTTGTACTGTAAATGAAGGAAAGCA